AAAGTCTTTGATTGGGGCCAGCAGGTGGCATAGTGGTTGGGGGTGCTGGACTCCCACATGGCTGACCACAGTTCAAGTCCTGGACCTGGCAGCTTGCTTTCTCACTTTCTCTCTTTCTCTGTCTGTCTTGCTCTGGTCAAATTAAAAAATAACAATGATGAAAATTTAAAAAAAATAACAATGATGATAAATAAAATAAAATTTTAAAAAGTCTTTGATTTCTCATTGACCTAGAATGAGGTCCAGACCTAAATTGACCATGCTTACATCTGTAGCTTTATTGCTTTATCTCTTATCATGTTATGCTGTCTTAATACTGAATGATTTGTAGTTCTTTTCATTTAAAATGCTAGTCTTACTTTCTGATCTGAAGCACCCCTTGCTAAAATATCCCCACCTCAGGTCCTCCTTTTCACTCAAGCCAGTTTAACTTTCTCTCACTATTAAGATCCTTACCCATACCACCAAACATGTGCTATTGACATCTTTTTCTTTTTAAATAATTATTTATTTTACGTATTCATTCATTTATTTATTTTATTTGTTAAAATTATTTATTTATTCATTCATTTATTTTAATTTGACCAGAGAGAGACAAACAGAGAGAGGGAAAGTGAGAAGGCAAGCCACCAGGTCTGGGACTCGAACCATGGTTGGCCATGTGGGAGTGTCCAGCATTTTAACCACCATGCCACCTGCTGGTCCCCTCATTCATTTATTTTTAACTTGACAGAGAGAGATACAGAGAGGGAGAGAAAGAGAGGAGGTGAGAAAGCAAACCATCAGGTCTGAGACTCGAACCGTGTTCAACCATGTGGGAGTGTCCAGCGCCTTAGCCACCACGCCACCCACTTGTCCCAACCTGTGCTATTTACATCATTAGACTACAATAGAGTTCTGTCCTTCTGTCAAACTGATACCTATTTTTTAATTTACTGTTTTTATAACTAGTCTGTGAACTCTATGAATTAAGATGCCAAGTCTCATTTCTAGCAATTGCCAGTCAACTATTAGATATTCAGTAAATATTTGTTGAATGAATGAATGTAAAACTTGTATTTTTCTACAAAAATATAACTTTATTAAGTGACTAATTGTCAGCATTTACTAGTCATAAACTAGTATTAATATAGTGTAAACTTCTAAAATTTAAGGAAATGGCATGCCCTTTAAAGGGCACCTTTCTTTATTAATCAGTGTTTTCCATCATGACCTAGTCTGCTCCTGCCCCTTCCTTAGGTAAATCTAACATGTTAAGTGACCAGCTCTCCTTAAGTGTGCCTCCAGCGTTCTCAGCGGCCTATCCTTTCCGGGGTGACTAATTACTATTTCCAACTTCTTTTTCACAGTACACTAAATCTCGCTTCTCTTCTTTTTCAGTTGTGTTCCTATACTCTTGCCTTCTCTATATACCTTTGAACTTAAGTCTCTTCCCATTACATAATCATACTCTGCCCGGGTTTTGTGGTCTGTTTGACTGCTACCACTCTTGCCATTGCTACATGCAGTCTCAAGATTCAGCCCTTTCCTCTTTGCTCTTCTGTTTTTATACTTTTTAAAATAATCTGTTCTTGTGGTTTAGCCATTCTAACAACTTTGAAATTTCATTTTATCTTTCACTTGATATTTATTCTCATTTCCACTGTCACAGCACCTTCTAAACTTGTGCATCCCAGTTACTAACAGTTATTCTAGGATTGCTTAATGCAGAAAAAAATAGGCACTTGCCATTTTACCATTTTGTAGTCTATGTTATGTAAAAATTTGTCGTATTAGTGATATTAACAAAGATGTCCTTAAATGGGATGTTGTAGAGTGAACAAAATTAACATGTCAGTGGGGGAGAGAGGCCCAAGAAATAGTCTGAAAAGTATAAAGTAGAATAAGAGCCATAATGTCAAAAGCAAAAGGTATAGGAACAGGAGAGAAAACAGATTTGAAGTAACTCTAAAAGTACTTAGAAAGTTCAAGAAAATTAAGTCCATTGGAAATGAAATTGTAGAAATTATTCTTTTTAGAATTATGTATTTAATTTTGTTATTGTTATTAATTTGGCCAGAGAGAGACAAAGAGAAAGAGAAGGGAAGTTGAGAAAGCAAGCCGCCAAAGTTCAGAACTCAAACCAGTAGTCGGTCATGTGGGAGTTCAGTGCCTTAACCACCATGCCACCTGTCAGCCCCATAGAAATTCTTAAAATACTGTTAGTGGAGTGCCACGTATACAATCCATGTTCATTAAATGATAAATAAAATGGTGGAATTTGTGATACAAAGTTTCCACTTGGAAAACTTAGCCATAGACAAAGAGAGAGAGAGAGAGAATGATTTTAATAGGTTTAGTAAAAAGCTCTTTAAAAGGGGGGTACATCTGAGGGGATTATGATCACATAACAGACCAAATTCCAAGAATTTCTTAGAACTGTGCAGACCGTCCATGATGGGATAGCCATCTGGGGGTCTTTGTTGATAAACTGTTAAAAACGTTTCTAGTGTGAATAGCCACAAACATTTTCAGTGCTTTTTTGTTGGTTGAGTAAACCAAAGAACACGAATGCAAAAGCAAAATTTGACGCCAAATCACAGAAGTTGCCATAAACACAGAAGTTCCCTAGTGAGGACACTGCCTGTGCCTGAATTTCATTTGTTTCTGCTGCTACCATTTCTTAATTTTTCCTGGTGACTGGCCAGGTTAGAACTGTGAATGGAGACAGACTGGTCTTACCCAGATGGTAGATAAGATATAGGTAACTTAGGTAGATGAAGAAAATATTTAGGGATTTAATATGATGATGATCTGGCATATCTTAGAATGGAAGAGATGTGCTTACTCTTTTGTCATGGAGGTTTGCAACCTTAGTATATGCCTAAATCTGCAGCTGCTCCTCATTTCCCAGATGGCATCTATGGCTGGGAGTACTTTTTACCATCTGCACTTCTCAAAGAGTTTGTGAACTCTCTCTTTTAATTATTGAGAATGGAAAAACTAATTGGTAGAGTGGTTAAATGGTGTAAAAGATTTTTAAAATTTGAGTGACATCTTTTTAATCCTAGTTTAACCTTTCAAATAAGATTAGTGCTTTAAATGCTTTTTAACCTTCATCTTTGTATGTCTGCCATCTTTGGTATCTTCAATACTCCAAAAGATTCCCTAATAACTATTTTGAACATGGATTGGTTTTTTGAGCCAAATTCTAAAACTCTTGCCTCCTTCCAATATTGTAGTAAGTACTGTTTTTGGCACTTGCATAGAACAACTAACACTGAATGGTATGGAGTACAAACTTACATGGATTGTTAACACTCATCTGATAAGCTTTTAAGTCAGTATAGTGTCACCATTTGTAAAAGTAATTTGTTGCTAAAGACAAACACCTAATGCATTAGTGTTTCCATTTATTTAAAACATTGAATACTGTGGAAAACAATTTCCCGGTTAGAAATACTTTTATAACTAAGCTGAGAATAATTGAGCGACATCTGACTCCGAAAATGAACATATTCTCTGTCTAGGGAATTCTAGATTTGGTGTGTTATTAGCTTTTTTTTTTCTCCCTTCTTTTAGGTTTATGAATCACAATTGTATTTCCCAATTATGTGTTGTAAATAAATATCCTCTAATAACCAGTAGATACAATACTTACTCACCATCTTTTCTCTTTAGGCAGGTTCTACTGGGGAAAATTCTCTAGATAGTTTGTCCATTTATAAAATTAGACACTTGCCATCTTTGCTCATTTTCAAGTTCTCTGTTTACAAAACTATTAAGAAGGTGTGAAATGCAGCCAAACTTCCCAGTTTATGGGAAATGTCTGATGATTGCATTTCCTACATGTTCATTGTTCACACATGAAGAAATTTGGCAGCTGTGAGATTATTAAGTTTAGAGTATCCAAATCTAACCCTCACTGGGATTTTGGTTTCCTGCTTTCTGCCACCATCATCTCACCCCCTTTTGTAACCATCTTTATAGTAGATGCTATGGTGGCATTTCTTAAGGTTAGTGATCCTTGAATTTTCTTTGTTTTTCAAGTATTAGATGCTATGTATAAATTACAAACCAGTATTTCACCTAATACAGGATCCTGTCTCCTAGCCATAATATACCCAAACTGTTAGGAAGACTCCTTAAACTTAGAATTCTCAATAAAGAGATTGTGTGTTGGTGACATTATAGAGAGAGGAGGGCTGTGGGAGTAGCTAATCTAAATGTAGTGATTATGTCAGAATTAATGTACTAGAAAGTTTATGGTCATACACATAGGAGTTTGTAACTGCCTCTGAAAGTAGTATGAAGAGGTTTGTGTGTGTTATTTTGCTTGGTTTAATTGTATTTTATTTCATTTGTAATTTAAATGTTTTTGATGTTGAAAACTTTGAATTACTCTCAGTTATTAAAGATCTTCTTTGTGGAATATTGAGAGATTTTTTTTTTCCTCAATAACATATATTTTAGAGTTTTAAAAATGTGAAATTACTGAGAAAAACCATGTGATTTGTTAAGTAGATTATATGTCAAGCTCCTTTCATCCTGCATGCTCCTGATAGTTAAATAGGTACTAGATGTGCTCAGGCCGTATTGACAAAAAATGAGACATAGAAGTCGGAAGTTGGGGGAGAACAACTGAGAAAGTTGGAAAAAGTGACAGAACAAAACTAGCTAGTATCACAGTGCCGTAAACAACTACCTCAGGTACTTCCATCTTCCTGTCTCTCAAAGAATTCACTAATGGTTGCCAAATGATTAATATTATTATATTTAGTAATGTAGTTTAATATTTTTAATACCTCTTACATATTTCTTAAATCTAAGAAATTAGGGTAGTAATAGTTTTCATTGCCTGAAAAGTTATTTTGAAGATTAGCAGAGTTGCTTTTTTGGTCTATAAATTCTTTGAATAAAATATTCTTTGAGTGAAAATTATGATTATCTTTGTTAATTATTCTGCAGAGGGAAAAGTAAGTTTAGGATATGAAATGCTGTCCTTTGTGTTTCATTCACAGGCTGTAGAAGAAGAAGATAAGATGACACCTGAACAGCTGGCAATAAAGAATGTTGGCAAGCAGGTGAGGTGTTTGTAATAGGTTATGCAGTCACATACTGATATGCTCTTATAGACTTAAACTATTTTAGGGCCTTTATGGTTTTTCCTGTTTGTTCATTTTGTATATTTCTTCTGTCATATAAATGTGATACTAATTTTAAAGGTCACTGAGTTTTTTTATGTCAAATTCTTTATCTGTAGAGAAGTAAATCACAATCTACTTGTGCTTATGAGACATTACCTTTAGTGAAAATAATTTACTGGAAATAAGTTAGAACATTTTATCCTGAGTTTATTTTTTTCAAGTATTATTTTCACTATAAATCAGTAGGATAAAAGAAGGGTAGGTTTATTTCATATGTAACAACTTTAAAAGGTATGTCTTATCAATATGTAGGTAATATTCCTGAGATAACTTAGAGTCCCATTAGGATTACTGCGTAAAGAGAAATGATTTTAAATATTTGCTCTTTCACTTTTCTAAAATGAAATATATATTTTAGTCCTTATTATCTATGGGTGGGGGGAACACACCAACTAATTAAAGGAATCTACAGATTAATTAGACTGTTTTTTAAAGAATGTTGATTACATTTTTTCATTTCATGGAACATGGTTATCATATTGCTGATGTTGGCAGAATCTTGATATTTCAGATGCAAGACACTAAGCTGTCTTTGCTTTCAGCCATCCTACCATATGCTCTGATCCCATCACATCTCACAAGCTATGTAGGTTTGGGCCAGGACCATTCTTGGATGGGAAATCTCTAAGAATCACCCAGCTGCCACAAGAAGTAATGTAGATAACTGAGGGAATAATGTTACCACTACACTATAAAACCAATTACTCCAACAGAGCGGTCAGGGCAATGGTTCTGACTTTATGATCCATCATAAATGAGGAAGTCAGAATCACTATATTCTGAATACCATAATTTAAAAACAAGTACACCCTACAGCCAAAATGAAATACAGCTCATCTTATGTGATCTCACCCTTGTTTTTTTCACTACTTATTTTAATCTATCATATTAGTTCACCAGCTTAGAGCCTTATACTTGATCTCAAGCAACTATTTTTAAATAAATTACTTTCTGAGGCTGTTGTTTCTTGATGTAGATTATATTTAACAGTTAACAGCAAATAAAAGGCCTTAATTAAAATAAAATAAAATGAAGCTGAAAAATATATAATTGGCAGAGTTTAATGATCATCAGAATCTCTTTTAAAAATATAATAGATACCTCACGGGTTTGGCCTACTGCGTGGAAATAGCAAGACTATCTGTGGTGGAATCAAACCAGTATCTTTTTTGCGTGCCAATCTTTTTCAGTCACTTTCACCCTAAATGCCCTAAAATTATTTCTGAAATTGAAAAGAAATTAAGATTGTGGTCTAGTCATTTGAAATTTTTGCAGCATGCTGTGTCTCTGGGTTGTTTAAAGAAATCAGTGTATTGAAATTTGGGGTTTAGAGAAGTACAGCCAAGAAATAATTTCAATGATGAGCGTTCGTTTAAAGTTAGGAGTCTTGGCTTTTTATTTTAACAATACCCGTAAGAAACTAGTGGTTTGAATTAAAGTTCTTCTGTCATATACAGCGTATATTCTTCATTTCAGAGCTTTCACATTTACTTGAAAAAGTTAGCCTGAAATATAAATCAAGCAATTTAATTTAAATTCCTTTATTACAATGCAATTTTAAGCTTGATATTTTTACTCAGTCTATTTTAAAAATAGACTTGATCAGGTTTAAGCTAAAAGATTGCACCTGTATCATTGTCTAAGAGACATTATCTTCAGAATAGCTACATGAAACATTTATTCTTAATGCTTTAGAATTGATATAAATTCTGTTCAGATTTTTGATCTTTTGATCCAAGAATATTTTCTGAATGATTTGAAGCACTACTCTTGAAATATTAAAATTACATAGAATTCTAATTTTTACCAAGATGTAGAGGAAGTGATATGAATTCACATTGAACTTTTACCTATTGGTATGTCTGTTTTAAATAAAGCACCCCTGATAGACATTCAAAATATGTAACTGGGAAAGAATATACCCTCACACTGAGGCACATACACATACATAAATACACCTAATATTTCAGTCAGATGATAATAAACTGTATATAATTCATTATTATTTTTTTTTAAATCTCTGAGACACAGTCATGGCATTGTTGTGTAAATCAGTTTTTCGTTGTGTAGTGTATTATTTCATTTGCTATTTGACCTTTTAGCAGATTTAGAAATCCAGAGAATGTAACAATATAGCAATATTAGGAAAGCCAAATTGTAAAACATTTATAAATTTAAGTATGGGTTGTTGTTTTTTTTTTTGTTTTTTTTTTTACCAGTTTCATCAGCTACTAAAAAAAAAAGTAATTTACCTACCAGTGATATGGTTCTTTTTAATTTCTCTTTCCTTATTTTTCTCTTTTAGGACCCCAAACGTCATTTGGAGGAACATGTGGATGTACTCATGACTTCAAATATTGTCCAGTGTTTAGCAGCTATGTTGGATACTGTCGTATTTAAATAAACACAAAAAGCTATTTGTGATATTTCAGTGTATATTCCTCTGTTGTTCCTAATGCTCAAAATCAAGGGACCTCTGAAGATGTATTTGGTAAAATATAAGACATCTGGCATCATTTGCAGCACTGTAACACCTTCAGTCTCAGTTGTGCAATTCTGTTTTTTTAGTCAGGGTCTTTGCAGATTCCAAAGTGTAAGAATACATCAGAGTGGACAAATTTTGTTGGGATCTTGCTTAATATTTGAAAAAATCAGCACAAATATATTTTGATTGTTGCTTACAAAATAAAATACATTTACAATCTGTGTCTCCTGAGGTCTTTTTGGCATTGGATGGAATTGACAGAATAACATTAGAAATCTCACACAAAGATATGTTTTTGTTTGCGTTTAAAGATCTTATAACACACTTATATCAATGTGATAACAGAACTTCACAAATGTAAATGTAAAATGATTGCTATTAATGAGTTTTTACCTCATTAATGAGTAACCCAGTAACCCAGAAAAAAAATTGACGTTTTATTAAAAGTATTTGTCACAAACTAATATTGTATACCCAATATCTTCTTAACATACTTTTAGGATTTCAGAGAAATACATTTAAGAAGAGGAAAGGGGCAATTTTAATTTAGATTTTATCATGTTTTAAAAGTGTACATTTCACCAACAATTTCAAGACATCTGGGGTTTTGCTGCTGCAAACTCTGTATTAGACTATCATCTCAGGTAGTCAGAGAAAGTCTATAATGTCTTCAAAGCAAACTGAGAAAAGTAATCATAAGTTTAATATGACCTTATAACTAATCGTTTTGTTAATGTTTTCTGTCATCTTTCTGAATTAACTTAGAAGTGCCCAATTTTCTCATAGAGGAAAAATAAATTTGCTAGTGGCAGTATTCATACATGATTTTATCCTCAACCCACTTCTACCGACATGTCCAAAGGTAACTGCCCCTGCTCATACTCACAGTGTGTTGTTGAACTGGGTACCCTAGAAGTATGACAACAAATGGATTTACTTCTAGTCTCCATCCTTGTTTGTGAAAATATTTCTAAGTCTTCATTAAAGGAAGGTTTTACTTGGAGACTGCAAATTTAGACTTAACCTACTAGAGGTGTTATGAATTTGTTATGAACAAATTACTGTTCGTGTACAATTCTAGGCTCTCATTGGTTGCTTAGTGAAGAAACAGTGGAAATGGCTTAAATTTTGAGTATGTTACACAGTGTCTTTTTTGGTGGAATAAGATATTCTGAGCATTTCTTGCTTGTCCTGTGGTTTCTTCTTTTAGCTATGATGATACATAGTATGTTTTATGTAGGGCGGGTAATATATTAATTTAAATTGTTGGGATTATGTCTAACCATTTAAAATTAAGGTGTTATTGGAAATTTTCCTTTTGAATTTTGCCTAATTCAACCTTGTGTGCAGGCTTTTTGGATTTATGGGTTTTTTTCCCCTTCCTTTTATAAATAATGTTCTGTAACTTATTTCATAGATATGGTTGATTAGGCCTAGTCAGTTTTTTGGGTTTTTGTTGTTGTTGTTGTTTTTTTACTATTCTGCTCTTAGAAGATTCCAATATTCCAGGGGCTACTTTTTTCTTTTTTTATTTTAAGAGAGATTTTTGCTATAGGGTGCATGTGTTCTCAAAAGAGACAGAAAGCAAGAAATCACCCCCCCCCCGGGGGTGGGGGTGGGGGACAGACAAGCTGCAATCCCTTCTCCTCCATTCTTCTCTCAGGATTTTGGGCAGGCACACACAAGTGCCCCGACATGAGTTTTCCAGGGGCTGTTCTAAGTATTCAATTGGAAATTGGTTTTGGTTTTGGTTTTGGTTTTTCACTTAGTCTCCTGAAAATATCCTGAGTAAAGAGCAGCACTGAGAAGGCTCCCACATGGCCTTTTGTCTTTATTTGATCACCTCATCTATCTTGGTTCTCCATAGCCACATAGCACTCCTCCCACTGTGTTCATGTGAGAGACATTCCCAATTTCAGAACCTTATCAAAATCCCTCCTAGAAAAAAAAACTGCATTTTCTTTGCAGATTGAGAATTGATCAAAATCAGAATGCCCTGAAAGGCCCAGTGAGTCAGTGAGCACCTTTGTCTTGGAATGTACAGCTGTTTTAGCAGCAGCCTGATGCCCAGGCCTACTTATACATTAAAAGAACTGGTTCAATCGCATGCTCAACAACCTGTTTGGGACAGTGTGAGTGTGCACTTCACATGCATGCACCAACCATACTTAATGTGAGCATCTACATGTCCACTACACAGAGTTCAAACAGCGCTGGAGCCAACTGCTTGCCTCTGGTACAGAAATGTCCCTGCTTTCCTCCCAACTAATAAGGGGCACTGAAACCTCTGGCCTCACTCAGTTCTAAGTGTGATCTGCCTGGACCAACAGCATCTAGGAATATGGTTGTTGTGTACATAGAATCCAAGGCCCACCCCCAGACCTATGGAATCACAATCAAGGATCCTGGTGTGGTTGGCGCATACTTTAAAATTGGAGAAGCCCTGGTATGGAGTTGATTCACCGGAATGTGTGGTGAGCCTGAGGAAAGCCTTCATTTTCCTTCTTGAACAATTTATAAATTCGAGGTATAGCCTCTTCATAAAGGATCACTGAATTTAGTATCTATAGCCCAAAGTGCGTCAGAGTACACATTTATCTCATAATTCCTAAAAACTCCGAGGGAAGTGCACTCCATTCCTTTTCTACCCTTTAGCACCCTAACATTGCATTTTAGGATTCATTTTCTTTTTCAGTCAGTTCATGGTACTAGAATAGCAAAGCCTCAAAGAGTCCAGGTGGAATCTCACCTGCCACACACCTATGGCTCTGTCCCACGGAGGAAGATACCGTCTACCATCAGAGGCAGCGGAGGGAGAGGTGCTCAGCGACGGGCGAATTAATCATTGAAAGAAAACAAAAGTGGCCAAAATAGGACCAAACCCTTTCATGAGGACAAATGATGGTGGAAGGTCAAGGGCAGAAAAACAAGTATCCAATGGTGTCATAGCTACTCTCCCCTCCCCCATGCTTTGGTGCTCACTGGCTAAGACCCTGCTTGTTTATGAAGCTTCCCGGCAGGAGCTGAGATTTGCTTTCAAAAGGGAAAGTGAACCTGGCTTTATTTTTCTCCCAGAAAATTGTCTCGGCTTGAGTCTGGGACATCTGGTCATCAACCTGTCCGGCCCAGGGCCGCCCTCACCTGGCCTAGCCCGTGGCACCCTGCTGGAGGCCACAGCTGGTGCCCTCTGCTGCCCAGGCGCTCAGCCCGCCTCAGGGGCGCAGTCTGAGCTCAGCCCACGGAGGGGCCGCTTTGAAAATGCACCACAACGGCGAAGCTGTGAGTCTGGTTAACCCCTCTACACCCATGCCCAGAAACCACCCAGTGTCCCCAGCGCCGCTCTCCTTGACGCTTGTTCAAAAGCAGAGGCTCCACAGGCCGGGATGCCCAGGCTGCGCTTCCAGCATGCGAAGGGTGTGTGCCCCTGGGGTCTGCGCCAGACGTGCTCTCCCCCGCGCCACCGCAGTCTCCCGGGCGAAGCTCGCCCTCTGGTCTGCGGGTTTGCCAGCTACCAGGGCGGACCTGAGCTCCGGTGCTGCGCTCCTGCGCGTTATTCCCGAGTGGCTCGTGGTCCGAGTGGAAAGCCGAGGGAGGGCAGGTTGGCGAGTGCCTAGTCACGGGAAGCAGCTTTGGGCGGATAAAGCCTCTGCCGCTTTTGGCCTAGGTTCAAGCGGATTGCTGGGCTTCTTCATAGGGTGGTACTGGGAGATCTCTTCTCCCTACACCTCCGGGTCGTTCTGGGCCTTGTGCTACTTATTTATGCCAACATCCTCTTAAATTGGTCCCTTTCTCTATTCCTCCTTAGGTTCTTCCTCTTTCTAAAATTACTGGCATGGATTCTTTCTCTCCCTCGGATTATATAAACATTGAGAGAGAGAGAGACTTCAGTAATGATCACTGCATTGACACCACTTCCACTCTGTCTCCCCAGATAAGCGCTTCTGGAGAACCCATTTGCACAGGGACTCGGTCCTCTT